ACAGCASAGTTAATTTCTTCTGCCTTCCTGGTGGACCAGATTTATGCTTATGGATATTACCTCTTAAAGTAGATTGAGAATGTGAACAGAGAACACAACATTTCCAGGGCTTGCTTTTCTTTCCTAACTCCCAGCATGATGAGAATATGTACCACAATGCAGCTGCACAGCAAAGCAGAATATATACAATATATTCCCATCTTCACTGTGGAGACTGCTGCTTGTTTAATGCATACACATGCTACCAGACTACCAGGCAGTTCTGAAGAGAGGTCATGGGAGTGAGAAAAACAGAGCTTGATTCCTGACACTTGACACATTTTGAAAGTKGCTTCATCCTGTTTCCTCCCCCAACTTTTTCTGCCTTATTTCATTATAAATGCAGTGTTTCTAACACRCAGCTATTGATTTGTTCTTCAGAACTCAAGTATATAAATATATATAGTTCACAAATAAATAAGTTCACAAATTAAAACCAAAGGAAGTGGTTTCAAATACCAAACCATCAAGAGCTGGACTTTGTTTAGAACTGGTCTCCGCATGGCAGTTCTTTCGGCTTTCGGTCTATGCTGGTCAATAGTCTTAGTATATCAATGTACTGATGTGAGTGAATAAAAATTACTAGAATAGGTCTTTTCCATACTATGTAAGAAAGACCCATTARTCCAGAACCAATATCTCTTGTGCTGTCTGCATTCACAGATACACCTATAGCACATCAACCACCCAGCGCTCTGCTTATGTTTGCACAGATCTAGGTGAATGAGTAAATAAAAGCCTAACTTGTGTCCTGCTCATAGCTTAAGTACRACACCATAATGAAACAAAACTGCTTCCAGTTTAGCAGCTGCTTGTGACTAGCCAGCCCAGGGAGCGAGCAGAACTGCTGACCAGCTGGGCACACCAACGCCCTGTCTCAGCTCTTTGGGAATAAAGTACTGCAGTGGTGCACAATGTGTAAAGCAGGCATTTGTTGTGAATGATAAAGAGGTCCCTGAGTGTAGAACTTTGGAGTATGCATTTCAGAAACCCTTAAGTGCACCACAACAACAAAAAAGAACTGTCCTAAACAGAACCTGGAGTGGGGCATACATAAGAGGACAACGTAAGTGTTATGCTCCAAAGCCTTCACTTTCTTCTACCTTAATAYATGCTCTGTTGTCAGAGCAATTCCCCTTATACTTTATCCTACACATAAAATGAACCAGTATTACTAAGATCCACTACTAAAAAAATTAGGTCAGGCAGACTCTTTCCAAGGGTAGAGACTAATCTGTGAAAAAGATTTKCACAGAAAATCAGAGCCATAGGATGAACTACGATGAGCTCTCTGCAAAGAAAATTTAATACTTCCAACTGGAAACTTGCACARCTGTTGGCATGGAGACTGCATGACCAGATTTCATGTGTGTGCTGATTTTGGCTGAGGTAGAGTTAATTTTCTTCACATTATGTATCATGGGGCTTTGTTTGGATTTGTGATGAACAATGGGGTTAATAATCCAGGGTTGTTTTCACTCCTGCTGAGCAGAGCTTACACAGTCAAGGCTTTTCCTGCTTCTCACACTGCCCCACTAGTGAGGAAGTTGTGGGTGCATAGGCTGGGAGAGGGCAYAGTTGGGACAGGTGACCCAACTCCCCAGAGGGATATTCCAGACCATGTGGCATCATGCTCAGTTCATAAAGCTGAAGAAGGAGGAAGTGGGGACATTCAGAGTGATGACATTTGTGTTCCTAAKTAACCATGACATGTGATGGAGCCCTGCTTTACTGGGGATGGTGAACACATGCCTGTCCAGAGGAAGCAATGAATTMATTCCTTGTTTTAATTTACCARCTAAACTGYCCTTATCCCAACCCWTGRTTTTTGTCACTTTTTCCTCACTTTTACCGTTCCAATTCTCTTCCCAATCCCAATGAGAGGCAGTGAGCATGCAGCTGTGTGGGGCTGAGTTACCAGATGGGATTAAAACACAACAGCCCTCTGGCATGCAATGTAGGGCTTGAATGAGCTGAGATAACAACAGATTTAACTGGAATGTGTTAGATGGRATTTATTGCCATTATTACTATTTGGCTGCTTTGGGCAGACTCCTGTGCTTGCCCTGGGCTTGATGCCTGATGATACATTAGTGTAGTGCTCATCAGTGGCTGCTTTTTGCTTTTGCTKCTGTTTTGCTGCTGCTCCCCTCACTCTGCTGTGCTTGGGGTCATTTTGAGGACAGCCATGGTGATGCACAGGGACTGGCAGATGGCTGGGGCATTGCTGCTGATACCCCACTGAGCAGGCATTGGTACCCCATAACCATGAAACAAACTCCTCTCCTGTCCTGAGTGACCACCACAACATGGAGGCAAAAGCCATGAACTAAATGGACATGCTGTGGAAATTTAATGAACACTGAGAGATTAAGGGAATAACCTCTATGTATTATACCAAAGGATGGGAATAGGTGATTCAGGTGGTGGTTAATGTTGTTTTGGACCTAAATGGTATGGGATAAAGAAGAAATCCCTGTCTTATCAACACAGTTTTCAGCACAAACCCAAAGCATAGTCCCGTAACTAGCCTTCTATGTCGAAAATTAACACTATCCCAGACAAAACCAGTACACTGTGCCTGCTGAAGATTGATACTTTTAACCTGGAAAAAAAAATTCACACCCAAAACTATCAAGCAATTATTTAGTTTCCTGAAATAAGGGAAGTGGCTCAGAAGGGGGTGAAAGCTTTTGAAAGCTGTCAGATTGCTAATACCTTTTGTGGAGGAGGGGGGAACTTGAAAAAATGATCTAATGGAAACAGTGCTTGTTCTGCAAGATTTCTTTGTTCCAAATGGAAGCAGAAGTGTTTTTTTGACTTTTTTTTAACCTGCATTGGGTTTTTGGGGGAGGGCTTTGGGGCATTAGTTGGTTTTTTKGGGGGTGTTTGGTTACCACTACACATCTCTTTCTTATCACAAAAATTAGTTGGATGCATGATTTTTAAATGAGAGATTTACCCAGTGGAAAGGACTTTGTGCAGGCCCTAACTTCTTTTTTATTTGGTTGTACTGTAGTTTGATACTCCTAAAAGTGGCTTAGTGATTACAGGAAATAAGAGATGTCTTATCAAATGTCTGAGCTTGTAGAGGAAGTCAGAAAACCTTAAAACTTCTACTCCTAAGTTTTCAAAATCACTAAATACAATGGGCTGTTAGAAAATAATTTTAGGAATAATAAAAGAAGCCCCAATGCCCACCCAACAATTACCATCAAGTGCCTGAAAACTGATTGCCATAAAACCAAAGCCTAAGCCACCCTTTCGAAATGCTGCTCCTCCATTAACAAACCCCTCCCTGGGAGCCTGGCAGAGCAATCTGCACAGCAAATATGAAGTAAATGTTGCTTCTGTCCCCCTGACAGRAGCAAGCTTTGTGCCAAACTGCATGGTAAAAACAAGGTCAATGGTGTTGTGTACCTGATATCACAGCATGAGACTTAATTGGTTTAAGTGTAGTGCAAAGGAGTTAAAATATCATTTTCTTGAGACTCCTCAGTTAAGTAAACGTAGAGACTACTATAGACTACTGTGTGTGAACAGAGAGAAATATCTATTACATGACATAAAATGCTACTACCCATTTATCTGTCTTCCAGCCCTCTCTGTCAGCTAACATGTTGACTGACTGTGGAGGTGGCTGAGAGAGCAGACAGTAACCTGCCTTTTCTGGAGAAAAGGTAGCAGTGGGAAGTCTCAGAAAGACTTATAAAATGGAAAGTAGGACAGCAGATAAAAAAAAGGACAGGAAAAAGCAAAAGATTTTGGTCCTTTCCTCTACAGTGCAGCATTCACTTGTTTTCTTACAATATCCAGCAGCTATCAACCAGATTTATGCAGTGCTGCCTCTGTTCAGAGACTTTGAGGGACAAGGGAGCTAATGCTCAGGCTTCAAATGTTCTTCTTAGCTGGCTATCAACTAAAGGCAGATCATTTKGTTGCTTCTATCAGTATAAACCTGGAGTTACTACAGTGACATGAGGGTAGAAGCATGAATAAATTCAATGTAAATGAAAAGAGATTTCAGCCCTGCATACAACTGGATGCCATTTCAGAAAAAATATTTCAAGCCACCTTTTAGGGTCAACATTACTATAGAGAAAAACTTTTTTCTCTGCCATCAAGTATCCCAGATTACATTACTAGCCAAACTGATGGAAGATACATACACATAAAATGCTGCATTTTGTTCTGAAGAAAATATTTTCTTGAACATAGGTACTTTTYTTGTCTTTACGTTAAGTATTACCTCAAGATTAATTGCTTTTCTTGCTACTCTTTATCTGTCACATCTAACATGTTTTGCAAGATCATCCTCTTACCCTCTGTCTCTCTCTCATAGAAGTAAAAAAAGTCAAGAAACAAATTCACCTGCAGTATGGCAGTTAAATATTCAAAAATCTATTTAAGGAGAAGTTTTTACAAAATAAATATTTATTATTTATTTCACAAATTAAGTAATTTACCAAGTGTAGCAATTAATTTACAATTTTCAGAATTTTTTACTAAGCCCACTGCAGTTAAAAAAATCAAAACTTGAGCAACTGTAAACCGATTCTGTCATCAGGGAGTGGCTGACATTGAGGGGAAGATTTTTTCTTTCTTAAACACAAAAAACAAAGTATTGCATCATGAGATGAAGCCAAACATAAAAATTACATTGAACAGGTTCATGTAAGACACCTACATTTACTCTTTTTCAAATACAACTACAATTGTGGGGCTTTATTTTTTTAAATGGTTCCTATAACTTTCAGATAGGAGAGTGCGGAAGACATTTTAGCCGAGGACATGATGCATCAGTCTTCTTGACCTAGGTTCTCACACCATTGCATATGATTGTATTCTAATTTCTAAACCAAGATGATATTTCTTCACTTTGCAAAGTTTTCGTTGGTTTTACATCTACACAGGATATTGAGGGATCAAAATGAGAGAAAGAAATATCAGTCGCTACCTACCTTTGAGAAAAGCATCCTGTCCCAGAAAGGCAACACCAAATGCTAAGAGTTTAAGCCACAAAAACATGGTTATTTCTGGAAATCAGGCGTATCCTTATGAAACAGCATGTGTCTCTCTCTGGAAAGCAAAATAAATGTTATCTGTCTGCAAAAGAATTTCTTCACAAAACTTGAACCCAAAAGGAGACTAACTAGGCACATACATCGCACTGCCGGCTTATCTGTGAAGAAGTTGCTTCCTCTGCTACCCTRACTAACCACCCGCTAACTCGAAATGCACTTGAGTGATGTCAGAGACTATTACTTCTTCAAAAAAACTTTCAGTTTCCAGGAAGTCAGAGGGGTTTTTCTTAAGTTCCTGCAGTAATACTTAGCTTCCTTAATTCAACTAAAATRGATTATTTTCAGCTATTTCTTCCTTTGCACGTAGCTACACAAGACTTCACTTTTCATAGGGCTGGATTTAACAGTCATTTTTTCTCCTCATGTGCGTTTTTCTACTGCACACATGCACTGATTCYCTTATTTGTTATACATGTTTCTTGAGATTTCTACTGAGAGAAAGAGAAACCCTGACAGGAGTCACCAAAGTACTGACAACAAGGCCTTCATAAAAAGGTGCATTCTCAAGTGAAGTAACTAATGATTAAATTAATATGCTTTAAACATGGGGTTGGACTAGAGGATCTCCTGAGGTCCCTTCTGACCCAAACTATTTTGTGATTCTGTGGGATATATTTCTGAATTTTTCTACAAGGATGTCTTTCTGATTATGACAGGAATGCATGACATGTAGATAGAGGCAGTCAGTTCTGTTTCCTGTAATGTTTGGTACCTAATTAGATCACGCAATACAATTCTTTCCCATGATAGTGCCAGAGGATTGTTGTCCCTTTCATGGACTTGATGCAAGGTACACTAAAGACGTTTTCCCACACTGCATGCACTGAGGTAGCTCCCAACAACTTGGTAGAAAACGCCCCTTATACAGCAGATTGCAAAGGGAAGAAATGTTGAGATTGCTTCTCTTAYTGAAGATTTCCAATGTTCTAAAAGAACATTGGAAGTAAGTCCTTCAGAGACTTCCTAACCATCACACAGGAAAACGTTGCACAAATCCACATAGTAATTCACAACTTATATGAGTGAATTGAACTCCTCATCAGATTAAACCCACCTTCTACAGCTTTCAGTCAAGTTTTATAACAGGACAAAATCTTAGCTTCCATTAAGCAGCAGGTCTTTATATAAAGTGGCTGTAACAATAATTATATTGTAAATGTGTTCAGAACAAAACTGATACAATWATATTGCCCTGAAACTCCAGAGACCCCAATTTTGACATACGGTAACTTCATCAACCTGGAGTTGTCACAAATTAAATTGGACTATGGTCATACATTGTCTGCAGCGCCGACATCTTAGTCCCTTTCATCCTAGACAGAACCAGGACAACAGCATGGCTGAAGAGTGCCATCTGATGAGTTGAGTGCATGACATCCTGTGGAGAATCTCTCATAAAAGTTCTCAAAAGCACCAGGCTCCATTCCCACCCGACCTTCCCCAGCAGTTTTATACAACCACCACTCAACTCCTGAGGCTGCAACCCCAAGACAAAGTCCTGCAGAGTGGGTCTTTTCTGGCTGTGTGATGTTTCCAGAATTTCCACAGCGCTAACATATTGCACAATATCCTGTTATTTAAGAAAAACATCACACTCTCCAGCCATCATATCATTCTAGGTGTATTGCTAATCTTAAASCATCAGCTGTTAAATTTAATAACCAAAGTTACAAATTTACATAAAAAGGACACAGAACTGTTGGAGAAAGTCCAGAGGAAGACCAAAACGTTGCTAAGAGGATTGGGGCACCTCTCCTACAGAAACAGGCTGAAAAAGTTGGGGCTGTTCAGCCTGGAGAAGCTTGTGTGGAGACCTCATAGCAACCTTCCAGTATCTGAAGGGGCCTTAGAGGGAAGCCAGAGAAGGACTCTTCATCCTATAGGAACTGCAGTGACAGCACAAGGAGTAATAGGTACACATTGAAAGAAGGGAAATTTAGGTTTGACAGTAGGAAGGAATTCTTTACTGTAAGAGCGGTGACACTGGAACAGATTGGCCAGAGAAGCTGTGGATAGGCAAACACTGGCCTATCCACAAGGCCAGGTTGGATGAGGCCTTGGGCAACCTATTTTAGCCCACTAAAGGGGGGTTGGGACCAGATGATCTTTTACAGGCATGAGAGCAGACTCTATGCAGCTTCAACATCTAAAATACACCCCAACTGGCTTTGACTGACGGTCACCAAATATATATATATAGATATATATATAGATATATATATAGATATAGATAGATATATATATATATATGGCTCTCACTGAGAGACTGAAATGAGAACATGCTATTGGAATCTATATATTCAGATACTTTATTCTTACAATAGATTTCTGAAACAGAACATGTAAGGAGATAAAGAAATCAAATTATTCTGTGGAAAGCTGCAGTGAAAGTTCCCACTGGTTTTGATTTGCATTGATTTGCACATGATTCAGATGAAACACATGGGAATAATAATTGATGACTAAGGAAATTATGATAAAGATATCGTCAGTGCTCATTCCAAATCCTCCTTCTCTTACACCTCTGAGACAGTCCTAGGATTATTCACTCATCCCCCTGGATAACTTGGGAGGAGGAGCCTGGTTCTCTCACTGCTAATGAGACCCCACAGCATCGGAGCCAGGAGTTGTGATCCTCAAAACACTACACAGGCCCATCTCCCTGTGCAACTTCTCACAACACACCAGACAAAACTGCAGTAGGTGCTCAGTGACTGATGTTAGTGCAAAAACTGCCCAGATCCCAACCAGAGCTTGCYGAGAGAGATCAAGATCTCTAACAGTCTCCACAGTCACTGCTAACTTGCTTTCTACCAGGAGGTGTTTCTGTAACAGTTTGCAGTTGTGCTGCTCAAAGGCATCAGATTACAGGGTGTGACAAGAGAGAGGGAGGGAGCAATGACATGACACTTCTTCCCCAGAACAACTCCACTATATGCTAATGCAGCTAAAAAATACCTTATTGTTCTTTGGGGAGAAGCCAAGAAGCTGTTTCCTATTCCTGTGGAGGGCAGAAGAAAATAGAGAAGAGCCATAAAACTCACCACTGTTTACCCTAAAGGRAGGGATCACATGAACTCTTCAACCATGTAAAATGATTTTGAGACACTCCTTTCCTACTCCACAGAGTGTTCCCCAAACCATTCCCTATCTCTGCCCRGTACTACTGAGATGGGAGGAAACAGACTGGAAGGATTAAGGGATGGCAACAGTGGCAGTAACCAGGCTATGTACAGCATCATCCAGCCACAAGCCAAATACATTCGTTTCTCAGGTTGGATTGTTGCAGGTTGCCCTCAAAGATTGCCCACCCTGTGTSTGCCATCAGATATCAACACTCACCCTGCACACTGACACCCACAGGGCCTGTGGCACCCAAAAATGATCATTCCTGGTGCTCACTGTGTTTAGTGCCATTAGGAACTGTGACTGAAAGATGCCAATGAATCCACACTCTGTCTGTTCCTCATCATATGATTTCATGCTACTCAGTTTCACCCTGTGTTCATTTCCCTAAGAGTTTCACCAGCTAACACTGCAGCATTCATCTTCCTCACACAAGACAGCTTCCAAGTCCAGATTGTCAAAGTCAATGTGGTTTCACTTTGCCATTCATCACAAGGAATTTTAACTGGGATGTACTTGGTACTTTGAGGGTTTATTGGCATGGAGGGTGAGGGGTAATTCAGGCAATGGTGTTCTCCACTGGTACCTAAAGTAGTATGAATTCGTTTCCTCAAGAAATGTATTCTTCAGAACTCACCTGCATTTTCCGTTTGTTCAGAAGCCTTGACAGAATAAAGTACAAAGCATGTAACTAAATAAAAATTAAATTCTCTACATACTCCATACAGCGTTTGGATTTAAAGTTAGGCAGACTTTGCATAATTTCCCTTGCATTGAATTAATCTCATATGGCTCAGCTCAGTTACACTGATACTCAGCACACTGCATAGCAGAATTAAGCAGTTCCACASAAACTGAAGGCACACGCTTTAGCAAACACTAAGGGACACAGGAYAAATTCCTCCCAAGGGCCACTCTGTTTAAATCAAGGGGGTTACCTGCATTATGCATTTCATCCAGTAAAATTAATTTGACAGCCTTAYTGTGAAAACATTGTTCATGCTAGAAAATAAATCTTATAACAGTTTTAATATTTCACTGAACATTTGCTAAGGAATCTATTTTGTACATACTTTCTCAGGCTTGTTTTCAATTGCCAAAAACTATTTCCTGAAGAAAGAAAACATTTTTATTTAATGTGTCACATTGGATCAAATTATTTTAAGGTCAAGAGTAAACAATAGAGCKCTTTGTGCAAGCATACTGCTCTGCTGCTATCAACCCTCAGGCAATGATGATTTGACATCTTCACTTCATATGTTGCCTGCATGATCTGTGCTGTACCTGCTCAGGACAGAGAACGTATTCTGGTATCCCTGAGGCACTGTTCACAATCTGGCCCAAAATGAGCAATAAGTCTACGAGAAGCTCTTGAAAGTGCCAGGCACCTACTATTTGCTTACACACAACATTGATGCAGGATAACACTGGGCTCAGTAATTGTGAAATGAGTGTTCTTGAATAGCTCCTTTTAACATGCCCACTTAGAATTTGCTACCCTTAAACAGTGATAGCATAGCCATAAGCCCTGAGACTTGTCAGAGTTGTGCTGGACATCTGCTGCTCCTCCTGGGTTTGAATGACTGCTGGATGCTGAGAACARCTCAGGATTTAGCTTTCTATAAGGTGTCCAAATATTGCACAATGAATGAGATCATTKTACATTATGAAACATCAAATAAACATTTTTACGCATAGTATCTTTTTTTTTTTTATCCTTCCATCACTCACTTTGAAAAGCAAAACAAAAAAGAAGGACAACAATTATTTGAATATTTGCTACGCGTGGATCACTCCTTGAACTCTCATTCAGAAGAGTTCTTCAGTAGTGGCAGATTTTTCCTTCTCTTAGTCTGATTCTGCTTTTTCCCCCCCAGTTCATTTCTCCTAGTACAAACTTCTTYGATTCTATAGGCACTTACATCACTGCCTCAGCAAATGAAGAGCCACAGTTTTAAAGAGCAGTGAGCTGAATGCCAGGCAGGGCACTGTTCTGTGAGCAATCGCACTGAAACTCAGGAATAGCACCCCAGCTGGAGGTACTACACAAGCTCCCTTTGTGCAAGGTCTTCCCTCTCACCTTCACCAAACCCACCCTGCCTTCAATAAAACTGGTTACTTGCTTGCTGATGGCTTGTTATTGGCTAATCCGTGTCTAGTTAATCTTCCCAAAGTATGTGCAGAATTATACACTACAGCATAACTCTCCAGTAAATGCTGTCTTACCTGCACCATAGTAGCAGCTGTGCCATGTTTGCAGAAGGCCTGACAGAACATGAGTCAAAGCAATAGTAGCACCTGCCAACATAAAAGAGCCCACACAGAAAGAGAAGAAAATGCTTACAAACAATCTTTTCCAAAGTATTTCCCTTCTGGTTTCACTGCGGATCACTGSACATTTCCTTCTCTCTTGAACATTGCTTCCTGTGTGCTCTGTAGCAAATTTTAAGACCTGTCTGTTTACTCTGAACTAACAGACAGGGTGGGCTTTTCTTTTTTGTGTTCTTTTTTTTGATGCTCAACTTCAGCTGAAGCAGGCCAAGACCAGTGTCAGTGCAGGCTACTGAACCTGTGTTTCAGGCTATATTTCTACAATTTGCTACSTCTGAGCTAACTGCTCGTTAGTCTGTGCTGCAAATGAGCAGACCAGCTTGCCTTCTGTGAGTGCCCTGTCCCCTTTTCTGTTTTTTTGCAAGTAGATATCCTGTAATATTAACTTCTACATTCTTTGCCTCTATCACTGGATCCTGCTTCCACCCAGGATGTTGGATTTATTATCATACCCTATTAGCTGTCGTCTACAAGTCATCCTGGTGTTTTACTATGCATCAGATGACAGTGCTTATATCCAAGAGTATCTGTGCATTTTTCCAATAAAATACAGGTTTTCTCTATAGAAATGTTTTAGAAATGTTTTAGAAATGTTTTTCTAACATTCCAATCATGATTATTTTTGGATGGAAATGCAGTCCCACAGCTGATTGTAGTCATTATCGTATAGAAGCACAAAAATGCCTTTAAGCAAGGTATTTATAAGTATGAACMACAAATCTTTACCTAGAAGGCTGGTCTGCTCACAGTGATGCTGTCGGTCATCTTCTGATAGCCCATCTTCTGTCCTTCTTCAMATTGTGACATGATTTTTCTCTCTGGGGCTGTCCAAAAGGGTTAGATAGACATCTCCAAAGATAAGCATGTGGCAGGCATTACTTCTTCCTCAGTGGCTTGTCAAGAAACTACTGCTACAAAGCTAAAAGAGTCTAGATTTCTATAATCTAAACTTGCAATAACCATCTTTGAATTTGAAACCATTGGAAAACAAAAGTGAACCCACAGATTTATTTACCTTGTACATCAGGGTTTATATCTCCCTCCCTCAGTTTCCATGCCTCGAAGCCATTCAGTTTATTTGTTACACACACACACCATAATCCGTCTTAAAATGAGATAAGTTCATAATGCTGGTACTCAAGAAAAAAAAAAAAAAAACCTCTAAAGATGCACCAGATGTCTTGGTTTATTCCCACATGACAAAAACAACAAAATATTTAGCAAAGGCAGTAAATTCTAGACGTCTTTTAAACAAAAGAGTTATGCAAAAGTCATTCATGCAATTGCAAATATTTTTCTATCACTTCTTGATAGATAGAATCAGCTAATAGAGGTGCAAAAATATTAGAAATACACTTTTAATGTAATAATCATGTAAATAGTAGACAYTCATGCAAGGCACAAATTTTGGCAGAGTGAAGTAAATACTTGAGKGATTTGCAGACAAGTAAAAGAAAATACAGTATTGGGAGGTCAAATACTGAAATAAAAATGTTTGTTTTGTTATTTGGGTTTTATAACTTATTTCTATTTTACTACAGAATATTTCACAATAAACACTGAAAGACATTTAACATAAAATGGCTATTTTAACTGGGTCAGAAAACTCAAGAAACATATTGCTCAGGCTTTATAAACACTACAATCTGTGCATACAATGCAATGGAAGAGCCAAAAATAGACAAAAGAGGATGGTGGAAGGGGAGGAGAGAAAGCTAGTAATCCATCATGCTGAAAAAGTCCATGCTGTGGTATTCCACAAACACCTGGAATTCTCAGAGGGTGTAAAGAGTTGAATCACAACAGGACTAAAACAGTATCAGATTCATTTATTTCAAGAAAAATACAGTTTCGCGTGTCTCAATAAACAGGACCCTAAGAAATACCACAATTTCACAACAATTATTTTATGTGTTCATGTGTACACTGCCAAAAATCTAATCTCTGTCCAAAAAAATATAGCCCAGAACCTACTATCACTATTGTTTCTTAAGTTTTACTCTAAAAAGTGATAAAATGTTGGCAATATAAATTATTAGCAAGAATAGCTCATTTTTCCCATACCAAGTTCAGGCCGACATACAAATTTGGTAATATGCTCTCACTCCCCACATCAGCATAAAATATTTGCACATCCTCTTTCTGCCTTACAGCAAGTGCTACTTCCTTCACTTAGTAAGTTAGGAAATATCACAGAAGATGAAACTTCATGCAACAATTATTTAGCAAGAGGCTCTGTCTGTTTTTGTCTTCTTCTCATAAGATCCTCTTTAGAGTTTTTGAAATTCTGTGTTTAAATTAAGAAGCATTATTTAAAATAAATTATGATGCAAAACAAATCTTGTTAGCTAAACATTGTCAGTTCCTAGAGCAAAATCAAAAAAGCCTGTAAACTGGTAAACAAAAATTAAGGTTTTTCCTTCAAAGTTATACTGAGCAATWTGAACCTCATATAAGTTCACCTTCCCACCTTAATTTTCAGTTYACTGAGGTTCATAAAGTTTCTCCACACTAGATCCATGGAGACATCCAAAGGGGTGGATTTTCTGAGACTTTACCTCCTCCATCAGCACACTCTGATTTTTCCACCACAGAAAAATAGATTCACAAATAAGTTTGTCTAAGAAAAGTAAATGACCTGTTCGTTTTCCTTTCTTTCTTTTCCTGTAAACAGGAACAATTTAAAGACAGATGATAGTAAACAACAAGACCTGCCTGCCCTCCACTGTCTCTGATCCAAAAAACCTTTGTGCTTTTCCTTGCTCTCAGAGTCTTCCTTTTCTCCAAATTTCCCACATCAGCCAGAAAAAAAACCTGAACTCTCTCACTGTTCTTCRCAGACAGTTCACGTTCTTGAATCATGAATCTGTAAGGTCAGGCTTACATACACTCCATTCTAGCTGGAAATAATACCTTTTACATGCTACTAAAATTTTTGGGCAGTGGGAGCACCAAATACCAATCCTGAGGAAAAACAAGCTCCATGCATATTTTTGCATGAGGAACACAAGCAGGGTGAGAAAAGAGAAGTTCAAGAACAAGGTGGGAAGAGCTTTTCTCTGCTGCTTCCACAGTGGCCTCCGCTCTACTCCAAGAGGTAGCAGGAAGTAGAAGAACTAGTTTTGAGAAAGCCTGGGTTTTATATTTGTCCTAGCTCAATATTAGAAAGTTGAGCAGGCTGAAAAAGTACATACTCTTTGTACAACCATATAACAATGGGAAGTCTCTGAAGATCATGCATCTATACATTTACCTATTTAAAAGAGTTTTATGCTTTCATTAACAGTCAGATTAAGGAGGAAAATAGTTTGGTTTTCATGATCTGCAACAGTTAAATTATGTGAAGCTAGTTTTATAAATTAACTACCAATCTTTAAAACCTCCTACAACTGTTTATTTGATTATATTTCAAAAGGAAAAAGAAAACCCCAAAGGCCTGACAAATAGATTCTTTATCTCGAGTCCCAGCAAATACTGGTTCCCAGAAACTACGGATTCCATTTTTTATGCTCTATTTATCAAAAATGTATGTCGTGGAAGTAAGTTTTGTTTAATTGCAACATTAGGTATATTTAATATCTTTACTGTTATGAAAGATCATCAGCAGTGTTTTTCAGGACTGTCAAATTAAGGCTATTAGGCCAAATAAAGCTATAACTGAAAAACAGTAAAAGCTCCTGTCTGCTGCTTTTTGGACTTTTCTCAGCTTGGCCTGTAAATTGATGCTGCTCTCAGCTTTTCAAGCTGCTTTCACTTTCTGGTTCCTGTATGATAAGTACTGAGGCCCACAAGTAGTGCAGAGCTGCAAAATTCATAACTAAGGGCCTGAATATAATCTTTTCCAGCTATGTGAAATCCAACTACATCAGTGAAGCCACAAATTCATTTATGTTGTCTCTGCCAGTTCTCTTTACAGATGGACTTTCTGAAGATCAGCTAGTGCATTTGGATGCAGCCCACTGCTGGTCCCTAAGTAAGGAAAACTGTGGGAGCTGAAAACAGCACAGTTGATATCCTGGCCCTTGATCCCCAGCCTCAATTTAGCATATTGAAATACTCTGGTTGAATGGAAGCCTTCTTACCTTAGGATTGCTTGGGTGAAAAGATTGGTCCTTTGGGGAGAATCTATCTAATATCTCAGAATTCATTCTGTACATCAGAGGTACCAAGCTCCTTTTCACCATTCTGGCTGCCACAGGTGCCAGCACTTTCCTACTGRAAGTAGAAAAGTAGAGAGACAGATAAATACCATCCATATTCTTATCTAAGGACAACATTAAAGGTTCAGCAAAACTTTTCGAGTTAGATGCCTCAGGTTTTTCTCAATTGATAAGCTGGTTTCTTAGCTCTTGTCACAATACATTGGGTGATTTGAAGCTTGCACTGAACTAAAGCATTCATGACACTRACTCCCAGGTCCTGCAGGACCCAACAAACGCTGCTCTGGGGCAGGGGAGACGTTGCAGAAGTGTGCAGGCATTTGAAGTTCTGTCCAGTCCAAGCGCTGAGAGCACATCTCTCATTACCCCTGGCTGCTCTTTCAGCTTGTCAATAGCTCCCATTTGATAAGATAGCACTTTAATATATTGTATGGAACAAAAAGATCCATTACACAGCCCTTCCAATAACAGTACATTTGATGGCATGTATTTTAGTCTCAGGGTATCTTGATTTCTAGTTTAACCACATATTTTAACTTACCTATGGTATACACAGTTCGCAGTATCCCTTCCTCCCCTTACCTGCTGATGAAGTGTGAGATTGGGGTTTCGATATTTAAAAAGTCATAGCTGTCATTTTATGGCCATTTCAGCAGGATTATTTGGAATAATTTGAACATTTTCCTCACTGAAGACATACACTGCTAAAGCAGAGATTTGTGTTGTCCTTCCTCTGAGCTGGGGACAAGCACTGAGTGTCTTTTTTCCCCAGCTGTCCCCTCCCCATAGCATGACCATAGCAAGAGTCATGGAAACAGATTTATAACTCGACCTTGAATAATGGCCAAGTATTTTATAACATTTCAGATTTATGATTTTATTTCCTGAAGACCCTGACTGTAAAAATGAGGCTGGACTTGAAAGCACAAAGTCTATTTCTGGTTTTCTTAACAAGAAGGGGTCCTTGAGCTGTAGTAATCTTGTAACATAAACTAGACAATCTTTCAAGAAATCTGTGTGCTTTCTTAATTGTCTTATACCTAAAGGCTTTAAAACCAAGATGAGATATGTACATCCTCACATTCACAGATGTATAGAGACACTGAGCAAAATTCTAGCTTTTATTATGAAGATTTATTGAGATTATTACGTTTTTTTTCTCCAGATCCAAATTTTACAAGTGCTTTTTCTCTTTCTGTATTTATAGCCCACAAARTCTTTGTATTATAACATATCAGAATTTCCAAAATTATATCAAGAAAAATAGATATTTTTAGCTATGATAAAAATTCAGAGGTAAATGCTTTAAAGTCTTATGCTCTCATTCCTGCATGATGTGTAAAACAAACCACTTGTCCTGCAATCATTAAAATTTGCTAGAACAGGATTTCACCAAAGAAAACTCAAATACAACTTGACAGCTTAAACTGATAGTGACAGATATGCTTATACTTAATTATTTCTTTTGTTTAGGGGTCAAGACCAAAACCTCCATATATTATTTTCTGTTACAGAGTTTTTCACCTTTTACCTTACTCACAAAAATATAGGGAATGGGAGCACAAAATGAAGAAGCAGAGAAAACAGCTTCAAAAATTAGAAATTTACTTTACACTTACTTCCCCTTTCTTGGTTTTCAGGAGTAGCAATAAAAAAAMMCAGATTTTATTTAATTCTTTTCTTCAAAGGGTTGCCTGGGATACAATTCAAATTATCAGAGATTCCATTTCTTATATAGGGCCACTGACTGACCATAAGAAAAATATGTTGAGGCATTAGATGTATTTGTTTGAAATACTTGATATTGAAATTCAAACAGTTCTTCAAGCGGAATTCATAACAAGAAGAATTTGTGACAGGGAGTCTGCAAGATTTACTTTGAAGAAAAAAAATGTGTGTTTAAGAGATCCTCAAACCTTCAAAAGAACACCTCCTTCAAAAGGCCCCACCTCACAGCTATAAGGGATTTTCAGAAGTTAATGTATTTACATAAAGTGGAAAGACTTGCAAACTGTACAAGGCAATTACTGGAAACGGTGGTGTAGTATTGAACAAAATGGGCCCACTTTCCTTGGGTTTTTTTCAAAGAAATACGTTATTTCTTTCATCTACACTAAAACTATGGGCCAAATCCTGGAGTTCTTACTGAAAAAAAAAGTAATTTTACAGACCTCCTGCTGGTCTTATGCGCAAAGAAATTGAATACCCCAATGAGGTGAAGGACAGAAAGAAAAGGAGCTTGAAAATGAAGTCCATATGAAAGAAAAATTGTATTTAAAATGCACCAAATAAACTCTAAGGACCTATTATCACATATTTGAGCAACTTGTGTTGACATATATGACTATATATATGTGTCTATACAGACTCATATATGCACATGTATGTTCATGCACCATTCCACACAGGGSTATCCAGAATGAAAGCCTGGCCCTTTTCTTCTTTTAGTCATAATACATTGAACCCTACACACACTTTGGTGTCATCAGCTAAGACTTCCCTGACCTAGGACTCCATCAGGTCTTATTGGTGCACGTTTTCAAATCAGCTTTGTAAACTTATTAAAATTGTATTTCAGGAAGAGAGAGATAGAAGAGCTAAAAGACACACACAAGCAGCAGGGTCTAGCTGGGTAGTTCAAAGTGATCAATGCATTTATTTTGTAGGAAGGGGGTAATTTAATTTTTTTTAATTCCCCTTCTAGTTTATGCACAATTACTTTTGCCTTCTGAATCCCACCTTTATGTTTCTCCTTATCTCTGGAATCATCCCTAAGATGTTTGAGAGAGAAGGGGAGAGACTCCACAATTATTTTTGCAGCAGAGTAGGACTGGTAGAGCTTTTCATCARCGTGTGTGTGCACACACAGGCATGAGCACATGCACACACCAACCACCACACTTCCACTGAAGATTCTTCCCTGATCCAGAACTGCCTGTACTGACTGAAAAAACCCCAAATCTACATGGCAAATCAGGATAGAATGAGTGTCTGGAGCATGGGAGCTCTCTAGACTGCATTGAAGGGATCCCTTCCCACTAGYGTAAACACTACAGTATCATTCAGCCTACACACAATAATATTAACTCARCAATGCTTGCCAATGTGGTAAGAACACCCAACAAGTATGATAAGGCTACACAATTCATTTCCATTAACCACCTTTAGTAACAGGGAATCTATATTTAAATAAAAATTCTATTTATTTTAAAATTTATCTTAAATAATTCAAAATATATTGCTGACCATCAATCAGTTTCCAATCAATCTCTCTGGCTGAATGCTTGAGACTGTTTAAAAACATGTTGCATATTTGAAGAGCAAAAAATATAACTTTTTTGTCTACACAAGCCCAGCATAAAAAAGCTATTAAAAAATTAAGGTTCTGTAGCTGCAAAAACTGCATGGCTGGCAAGAAAATTACAGACATAAGCATCTCCTAATTGCTCAGCACAATTAACAAGATAGCTCTGAAATTCTAGGAGTCTGAAGTGACATTACTTCTTGTGGACTCTTGGGTGGTGAATTCTGACATTTTTTACTTTCTAATTTCAAAAGTGAGGCAAAGGCTTCTGCTTTTGCCACTCTGGAGTTATCCTGTTTCCCATTCTTATGGGAATCTGAAACACTTCTGCTGTGAAATATTTATTCATTTTCATGTGTGGGTTTCCTCCAAACACAGAGCCTACTGCCACTCACCTGCTATTAAAACTCTGCACTTTCAGAGTCTGTGTAATCACTGCAGTAAATGCAACGAAATCGAAATATTCAAGCCCTTGCCCAACAGTGAGACTTTCCTTGGGTCGAATTTTAAAATTTGCTGCTGTGTGGTTTCTGTGCGGAGGCTGTGATTCAGTAACATGACTAAAAACTATGGGCCTGAAAACATTCAAGTGATGATTCAAATCTTGGTGATTACAGGGGAAGAAATGCAGCCTCCAAGGCCTCTCCATTTTCCCACATGGACATATATTAGTGCAAGCTGGAGTACACTAACTCTAGCATGTGCAGTCTAGATTTATACAGCAGTTTTTTCTCTTTATGTGTCCTGAACAAACCTTAGAAATGAAACTTTACCACTTTTTCCCCACTGCTACCTGCAGCTGTTGGACAACCTGAGAGACATCCTGAAGTGCAGGAAAGGACTGGGTCATCTCTGTATGTTCTCTAGGGCAGCACACAGACAAGCTGTGCAATAGAGGCTCTGTCATGCCACAGCACTCATGGCTCTTGACCCTGGGGGCTGAGGATGCCTCTGCTGCAGCACTGCTCTGCTGCCCCAGAGGTCAAACAAACTGCTGCTAGATGTGGAACTAAAACATTTTCGTTCTCAAGGGCCAGTAGGAGTCAATGTGCTCAAAACATGTTCCTACAGAGAACTCTGGAGGTTTCTGTTGCAAAATTATTTTTCAGGTCAGTTTTCTAAAACAAACAGATTCTTTGACAAGGTAGTCTGCAAAGCAGCTATGGAGGTTTGCGAGCCAAATAACAGCATAACACACACCTAACCACAGGMATAAGCACATTTTCACACAAACCTTTGATTTGTTCGTAACAATCTTATCAGATACTGTCTGAGGAAGGGGAAAGTTTCCCATAGCCAACTCATCCCTTTATATATTTAACCTGCAAACTTCAAAACAGTAAAAATTTATACAGAGGAAGTCAAAGTTACGGTAAAGAGTCAGGTTTCTAAAGTTCTTACCGTCAGCTCCCCTCCCACCCTTTAATTCACATACCTATTGACACAGGTTTCTAAGCTGCAGAGCCTTATTTCTTCAGTATCATCAATACTTGTAATTGTGTTTCACATACCGCAGAACTGCAAAAACAGAAATGTGAGADTCAGAAGAAAACACTGATATCAAAGATATTATGAGAGGAGGTAATTTATACTGGGAAATTTCAAGGAAATTATTGTGCTCTACCTATAATGTTTCAGAGCAGTCCCCAGTGTAACAACACACATTCCTGGGTTGGGTTTTTTTGGGGGGGAGTACATAGGACATAACATGCACATTATGGAAAACACATCAACCTGTTGCTATTGCAGTCAGTTTGCACAACATCCACAAGGCTTGACATTATAGCACAACAGTCATTTGACATACACAGGTGAGTGCCTGCCCCTGCACCTCGCTGAAGCTCACAACAAGAAAGCCTTGTCTTCTCATCACCACGTTTATCTCTCTTCTTCCCATGTGGGATTCATTAAAAACATAGCTGTAGGAGCCAGGAAAAGGGCTGGCAGTTCTATACCTGTAGCTGGGGGCAGAAGCCTGCCTGGAGGTCAGACTTAACGTGAGGCTCTGGGCAGCAATGTTGAGAGGGAACTGCTAGCACAGGCAAAATGCAGGAACGGCTGCTCATACTATCACAGCTTATTTCATRAAAGCAGAGCTGGTTTTGTTCTGAAGGCAAGGAGGAGTCAAATGGCCAGAAAGAGGCAGAAAAAGAGTAATTTCTGAGACTCTCAGTACTTTGCATAAAGTGTTCACCCCTACCTAGGAAAGGGGGAGAAGTGAAATGGACAGATAAACTGCTGTAATGTGAATTCTGGGATACATATCTACAATCATCTCTGCTATTAAGAGGAGGATCTCAGGTGGCTTGGAAGGGAAAGATCCAGTAGGGCACACTGACAGAATAAAAGCTATTACTTCTTAAGCCTTTACAAAAGAATTTCAATGGATTTAATTTAATTTCAAGAGTGTTTTAAGAGCCAAGACTGTGTAGCCTTTTATCAAGGGTTACCATACCCATAAGCATGAAGCTTCTTTTTTATGTATCTTTTGAGGTTTTTCAAAGCAATGATTTTTTCTTTTGAAAGATTTCTATTATAGCCTATACCATGCTCTGTGAAAAAGGTTTAATCCATGCTGCTTCTGCTGTTACCCATAGCATCAAAAAAGAGCAATGCAAATATTCACAATATCCTCAGACAGAAATAGAGAGAATACTTCTGTGCTTTCAGAGTAGCCTAAATCCTTTTTTTTTCTCTTAAAAAAAAATAAAATTTTTTTTTAAAAAAAAAAAAAAAAAAAAAAAAAAAAGAAATCTTTCCAGGCATTTATTTCAAAGATAAAATAGGCAGCTGCTCAGAATTGCTAAATGGATAATAATTTGCCTTTATTGTTGATTCCAGCAGCTCCTTTCAGACCACATATTTACAAGAGTAAACTTGCCATATTTACATTAGCCACATGTAAATGCGGTTCCATTTCATATTAATTTTTTTTCAAAGTTATTCACCTTATTATTGTTATGATTTCAGAATAGCATAAATAGCAGTGAGGTTCCCCTTTAAACGCTGTGTGATACCAGAAATCCTCCGCCTCTTTAATTCTGTGGCTCTCTGCTAGGCCAGAAAATATTCCCTGGGACAGACAAGGATCTTCCAAAATGTTCTTCTGTACAATCTTTAGTTCCTCTTTGTTCTACCAGACAAGTTTGWCCCTTGGAACTTTTGCGCCACAACCACAGAAACACAGAACCAACATTCCCACACAGGAGCTGTGAGGGAGGCCCACAAGGAGCGCTATCATGGCAGCCCATGCTCCACWGTTCACCATCATAAGCATAATTCTTGTCAGAAATGCACCTTTTCAGTGCATTACACTGTCCAGGACAATGACACCGAGCACCTCKGATCTATCTCTGGGTCACCACTCGTGTTATTTCCCATCCCAATGACAATCCCAAAGAGCCCGGGCCTCACGCAGGGTTTGGAGCTGGGGCTGGTCCCTCCTCTATGGCGGTGTTGTGAGGGCCCRGCTGCCCCGTGCCTGGCTCCAGCCAGCTCCTCTGCACCCCGCTCCCACCACTGGAATCAGCCCCATCACACACCTCTGAATGCCTTCCCTCCCCTCCTCCTCCC